AAATAGTACATTATTTTCAATACTAAAAATAATTTTTTTTAACATAGTAAGAAAGTTCACTTGTAACAGCAAAATTTTTTCTAAAAACTATGTTCAAATGTTTCCTTAAAGAACAAATGGAGTCGGACCCGTATTATACAGTGTTTTTTTTCAAGTTTATGCAGGCAGTAGAAGGGCAGTGATAAGCAAAGCAAATCGTGTGGGGGACAAAAAATATCGTGCGTGGGGGCAGTGGTTGATTTGGTGTGATGCCTTGAACCAATATTTATGGGGTCAAAATAACAGAAATAAGACGAATTTTTCCTTTATTTTTTAGGAGAATTTTAGGGACAATAAGGTACTTTTGTAGGCAGTAGGGGGTTTTGTGGAATGTTTCATACATTTAATAATATTAAATAGAATATATTTATGTGTTAAGAATAGGTGACTTAAATGAACATTACGTGCTTTTATGACAACTGTATATTAGTATCAGTGGAAAGTTATGCGGCTTTCTGTAGATGTGTAATTTTTTTCTTATAATAACTTTTTAATTTGTTGTTCCCAATAATTTCTGCATGAGTTATCTTAGGTAGAATACATCAATGTTTATTATTTCTTACAAATATTCCTTATTACTTCGAATTTGTAACTACTCATCACATGAGTTGAAGATATTTAAGCATTGTAATAATTGCTTTTAACTTAACAAGATAAAATCTTTTCGTTTAGACTAATAAATATGTATCAAGTATTTCATAACGAAAAAAATTTCAATCTGTATACATTATATTTCATATATTAATTCAAATTACGCTTTGTAATGTTGGAGTTATATGGGGTTGGTAGGCAAAGGGTGAAATCGTCCACACATCTGTCTTGTACTCCGTAGTTAATCTTAATACTACAATATATTTATAACTTTCTCTGTATACTAAATTGCTTCCTCTTTTCTTCTCTATTTTTGCTCTACTCACTCTCTACACTGAACCACTTCTATTATACGATCTGCTCTTCTCTACTCCCTCTATACACCATATTGTTTTATTTTTGTTCTCCTCCATTTTGACGGTACCCTAAATTTTTTCTATATACACTTGACTATTCTTGTTACTCTATTCTACTTTCATATCTTCACTTTTCTCTACGCTGCCAAACTATTGACTATCTCGCTCGTAGAGCATTTTATTTTTTAAGTTCAAAATTTTTGTCGTCTTATTCCTTAACAGTATAAAAATTAAGCAAATGTACCGATATACGCAAAGTTCGAAGCATACCTATAACGATAAGGGAATTAATATAAACTTTAAGTTGACCATCGCTTTTTTCAAAAGTCACAGGAAAATAATAGCAAGTCCGACACATGAGGGTGATTCTTTAGTGGTTACGCTTGAACACAACTATAATAAGTAAGTTAATAAAGTGTTAAACGACCCAGAGTTAAATCAGCCCTTGCAACAATTTCCATTGGTTGCTCGAAATAAATCAACAGAGGATTAATTAGTAAATAAGAAAGATGTAAAGAAATTCAGCTTCTATAATAGATGGCTGTATTTTGGCATGAGCATATTGTCTGATTCAGGTACACGAGGAAAATTTCTCAATCAGAATTATAATTGTTAATATCGGTTTCCATCTTTATGTATTCGACAAAGTTTTATCTTGAATGCTAAGTGGTAAAATTTCTAAATGTCGTTGTTTTAAAAGTAGCTATATATGTATGTATAAAATGTATACTAAAAACTATTATAGCCCCAAATGTATGTGTTGAATTCACTGGATGATATTTCTTTATGTACAATTGGCTGTCCAATTAACAGTTGCTGTAGTCCCTTGCTGGCAGATATATCCTTCAGCCTCCTCGAAGATGAGATGTTCTCTGATCTTGTAAAGTCAGTACTGGTGTACAGAAGATACCTAGATGAATGTTTCTCAATTGTAAAAGATGCTTATACACGTGTTGTTTTTTATGGATACAATTCTTTTCATCAATATATTTAATATACCATAGAAAGTGAAGAAAAAAATAGCTTACCATTCTCAGACATGTTATAGTTATGAACAAAATAATTATAGTGGAAAATTATATTTTTCAAGTATATTGTCATCTTAACAGCTCCTCTTCTGACATGATTCTGAACTATTTCTGCAACCACATAATACATGTAAAAAAAGAAATTATCATGAGGTTAATTGATAGATGTTTTAAATTATTTAATGCTAGATTTAGGACTTGAAATCCAAATATTATGAGAGCAATGCTTGAGAATAATAGGTACCACAGTCTTTTCCTAAGTTGTAAAAAATAGACTTGGTTACATCGACTTCATAAATCAGATGAAAAAACCTTATTAAAAACAGTTCAAAATTGTTGAATAAAAATCTACTCTGATAAAAATATACATAATTCGTTACGCAAGTTGTTTTTATCCTTGGTGTCTTGAAGGAATTTTAATGGCATCTAACAAATTAAACACTATCATATAATGGGGCAAAAACAATCATTAAAAAGAAATTTTTTTAACTGGAAAAATCAATTGAATCAGACGTATAACATACGTGTGTTAATATATCGTAGAGTTATCATTATGTTGGTCTAGCATCCCTATCATAATTGGTGATTAAGATTGTATAAACAGACCACTAGTTGTATTACGTGACTTTATGTACATTCGGTATTGGTCTAAGTATTTTTTTCCCTACGGCAATGATCTGGCCGGGGCTGTCAGATTCGTGCATTAACTGAGGGTTCGTGTGCCTGGCGAACTATTTCTGGGGCGCACATGATGAATTACCATAATCATGTACTACGCATATACATTCTACGAAAAACTTTTCACACAACACCAAGGTAGTTACCGTGAGACTAACAAAAGAGTGTCGACTCCAGGCCAGCTCAAGCAAGAGGCGAACTTCTTTGCAACGGGAAGGGTACTGCACTGGTTTACACCCTTTTTAGGTTTTAGTTGGAACAAAAAACGATGGAGTCACTCTTACTGGGCCCTTCCTGGGCAGAGCGACACACACAGGGTCACAAAGACCAAAAATTGAGAAGACCAACTCGTGAAAATCCTTCGTACAAAGAGTATCGAAATCTTCAGCACCGACAGCTATGCCATTAGGACGATAGGCGTCGCCATTGTGCAACCGCCCAAAGGTAGTAGAGAACCGGGCTATCTCTTGTAGTACTGCACCCGAAAGGCTAGTAACCTCGGATTAAAAACACTCACAGATGGGCTCTACATTATTTCCTAGCCATGGACGCAACAGGCTGCTCAGCACTGGAAGTGGAGCAAGCGACGTCAGTGTTGTCAGTCTTTTTTGTAACAACAACGGAATGGATTTAGAATATAAAAGCAACTCAAGACCAGAGAAAAATGTTGAGCAAATAAAGAAGAACTTTGGATTTTCAGAACTTAAAAAAATGATTCAAAATACGGTAGAAGTAGCAACGTAATTAAAAAACAGAGATGCTGATAAAATAAGGTATAAAAGTGGCGTTGAATCTACTGCACAAGCTTAAGAATAGCCATGACGGGACAAGAAAGAAGATGGAAAATCTTTTCGAACAAGCCGATGATGATCTGATGAGAAAGATTTAAAGATCGGAAAAAAGGGAGTGAATCATACACTATATTCAATCCAGATTCGTGAAAAGTTTGCTGGTAAGTAATCGGAACAGGAGTCTAGAAGCTCCGAAGGAGACCCTTAATCCCCCTCCTAAAAAAGGAAAAAAGACCAGGAAGAACCAGGATCTTTTCTCTAAAATAACAATCAATGGTAGTGACAGCGGCAAACGCAATACTTCCAGAAAAAAGAAGGAAAATACTTTCATAAAGGTTACGGAAGGGCAGAGGTTTGTCAATGTCCTAAAAAAAATGAGAACTAACTTCAAGCCCGACGGCTGAGATCAGTCAAAGAAATCACTACGACTAAAAAGAGAGATCTTCTCCTTTAACTTAGAGGAGTTAATGACAAAGAGGCCTGTGTTAGTAGTACAGCTAAGACCATGAAAGGGCTAGGATCTGTTAAAGAAGATAAGAGAAAAGTAACGCTTGAAACCTGGGATCTGGATAATTGCTCACCACAGAGGAGAACAGTGACGTTGTTAGGAGCGAATAAGAGAGGGCAGAAGGTAAGTTTAGTGAACACTGGAGAGACCGATGCTAGAACTATAAAAGAAATAAAGAGCTTGCTAATAGGTTTCACAAGCTGCCAAGTGAGGGGGTAAAAGTACTCAGATGCTACCTGTATCTGGGGTATGGACACATAGCCCAAAACTGCGATAAGGAGGACCGGTTGGAGCTATGCTTCCGATGTGGCAGCTGGAATTACCGTAAGAAAGATTGCGAGGAGGAAGTCCGATGTTTCGCATGCGGAACAGAAGATGCCAAACACGAAGTTGGTAGTGGTAGCTGCTCAGAATTTAGAAAGGCACTAGAAGAGGCCAAAAATAAGGTGTCAATAGGGCGCTGATACAGTTTTAGAAGACGATAGCGGATCCAACCTGCGCTGACTTACTTAAATCATCAGCAAAAGGAAGCAACAGGAATCGATATTCCCACAAAACAGCAGGTGACCAGATGAAATAAAGAGAAGGCAACATCACGACGGTGACGACATCCAGATGGAAGGCCACGTCAATGGTCAACCATCCGTGACCTTGACTCGAAGTGTAATTGCAAAAGCGGATCCCAAGTTAGGTTTCCTAGGAAATAGGTCTTCCCAGTTTAGTGGGTATTCACCATGTATTGCTAAGAACATTGTAGTAGAAAACAAACATTTTCAGGTAGATTGCGAGGCCTGTGCAGGAAAGGGATTCGTATCCTTTTCTATTGTGCGTACAACAGAAATACAAAAATTTAGACAGTAATAATAGTAGGAATAATAATGATAATAATAGTAGTAGTAATAATAATCATAACAACAACAACAATAATAACAACAATAATAATAATAATAATAATAAACAGGAGTAGTTCGTCGATGANATAATAAAAAATATTGTAATAACTATGGAAATAAAAAGAAGTTTATTGTTAATTGGACAACAACCACATGTTAAAAAATTAAAAATTTTATTCAGTTTATTCTTTCACTGACTCTTCCGATACTAACGAAGATTGTGCATTACTATTTTCGGAATTTTTTTTCTTATTTCCAGAAACAATGTCATCTATCCTCAAAAGAAGAATCGCTGTTTCGATAGAGGTCTTGTATATTTGAAGCTTCACAGTAACTGGTTCCCAAATACCAAGGTGATTCATGTCAATTAATTTTCCGGACTCTCCATTTATTCCCCATGTTGATGTACCTTCAGCTGCATGTTTAGCACGTAAAGCCGTTAGTGTCCGTATAGTGTTAGCACCACAATTTTGAGCTAATGTTCGAGGAATAATTTCAAGAGCTTGAGCGACGGCTTTATACGGCCATTGTTCTATGCCAGCAAGATTAGCTGATTTTTCAATCAATATCCGAGACAAGGCCAATTCAATTGCTCCACCTCCTGCAAACAAGTAAAACTATCATTACTAAGTACCCATGGAAAAAAATGACAACTACATGGCCCTTGATGGTTAGTCTCTTATTGTGTACAAACATGAAGATTTCTCTAATCAACAACCGTTGCAAGTGAGGTTAAAACGGTTTTCTATTTTTCTTAAAAACTATATTGATGTTGGGTATCACGTTATAATTTACAGGTTTGTTTTATTTCAAGAACAAAATATGTAGTCATGGTTCTAGAGACGTTCCGTATGTTATCCAATAGAATTTTCTTATGTATACACACAATTTAAAAACTTTGTCAACATGTTATAAGTGATGCTTTTAAGTTGGTAGATTTTTCCGGAATTTTCAGAAATCAGCAATACTTACCAAGCTAAGTCCCTCAAAAGTGAAATTTTTGCCCTTTAGAGCAACTTTAGCTGTATTGTTCTTATAAAAATGAATTATAGTCTAAACAAATGATAAATTAAAGAACCAGCATATTGCCTATTTGTGAATTAAGAAAAAATTGTTTTACTTAAGTATGGCATCTTCATCCTTCAATCACAAAATAAGACTTAAAAATGACAAAAAGAGCCATTGCATTGATTACTCAGCATATCACAAAAAAAATTCAAGTTATCAGCATATCTTCGTAACTCAATATAGTTTGGTACTACAATAGTTAGAACCCCATTAGGAGTATAATTATTAATTCGTAAAACCAAAGGTAATCAAGTTTCAATGAAATTTCTTGAGTATTATAAGGTATTGGAGATGTACCTATGTATCCATTAACGCAGAGCAATAGGATCTACAATTCTTCTTAACTACACATAAATCTTAAACATAAGCAGTAGCAAATAACTGAATTTTTTGCATGTTAAAATGTTGTTTTAATCTTCAGAGAGTCACAGAAGTCTTAAATACGTTTATAAAAATATTGAAAGTTCTTACTTTTTTTCAAGATTTACAAATTTAGTGTTCACAACTTTGTGGTATAGTTTTAACTTTATACGGTGATCATCAAGCACCTATTTTTCGAAATTTAGTTATTTAATGATTATGGTTTTTAAGACCATCAGAATTGTAGTTTAAATATAAGTGTTCGACACAAATTAATTAAATTTCAGTAAGATATGTCTTTTTTCGACTATTCACATACCAGTAATAAAAACTTGAGAATGTAGCGAAAATAATAGTTTTTTAATATTCTACAATATTCTGTTCAAGCATTTGAATACTAAAATGTTACTGAAACGAAAAAAAAAAGAATGTAAAATATACTTTTTTGAGATTTATAACTTCTTTGTTGAAACCGTATGTGTAAGTCTTTGACTTTTCAAGATACAACCAATACAAATTCAATTTTATTTACCATAAGGACATGAAAAAAATATCTTTTTGTGGGTCTATTTAAATGGTCAAAAACTTTATTTTTTTTAGATTCACATTCTTCTAAATTGTGAATGGACCTAAAATATCTATTTAAAAAGTGTTCTTCTCTTTTTTTCTATTCTACAGCTACTCTGACAAACTGTGCGTATAACGGCTCTGCATTGCTGAGTTACTCTTGCGTGTGTAATTTATTATCGTTTTTAGCACATTAAATATTGCCTCTGCTATTGTGAATCATTAACTTATGCAACACTCAAAAAATCACACGAAAAAAAAAAAAAAAAAAAAAACTTATTTCCGTTTTTAAAAGTTGTACTATCTTGGAGCTGGTAACATTTTTCTTTTTAACAAAATTTTCTGGGTTTGAAACTGTCAAACTGAGGCATAAAATTGAAGTTAAAAACCAAAATTCAGCCCAATCGGATGTAAAAATGTCGAAATAGTCAATTTACAAGTCTCTTAGAAATAGGCTACTCAATATCAGAAGTACTGATAAATTGAGGACTGGAACACAAATTAAATTTGTTTTTGTAATAATAACTATTTCTCCATTGATTTAAAAAGCGTTCCAAAAGGGAATTGGACGTAGAAAATAATACTGAACTTAATATAAGCATTAGTTAAGTTGTTGAAAATTAATTAAAAATTTTTATCGTGAATAACTTTAAATTTGATTTGATTGATTGAAACAATTTTTTAGTAAAATTTTTATCATACTATTAAATAAATTAACATATTAAACAAACAAAATTCTTATTCAAAGAGAACTATTATTAGAAATAACATTAGAAAGAAGATTGTTTGAATAGCCAGCTCCTAGCTTTTGTAGCATGTGGCTTGACTTTGAGCCTAAAAAAAAAAAATTCTGGTGATCCCTTTGGAAGGGATCTCGTAATAACCTCTTCATAAGAACTCGTGAGTAACAGAAAAATTTAACAAAGATTTTTTTTCTCAAAAACTACAAAACTAGTTTCTCTGATTTTAATACAGTATGTGTAGTGATAAAATGATTGCCGTATAATAATTTGAAGAAATTCCACATAAAATGAAATATCACAATAATACCCTTAAAATTTAAATCGTTCAGTGAACTTTAATATCAAATTTTCTATTTTTTCTACAATTTTTTTTTTTAGATTTGAAATAATAGAATATAGGGAATAAAATATATTGAGTTGCGTAACATTATTTTAATTAAAGGTGGTATTAGCTATGAGCTGTATCAACAGCTTTAATTGAGGTTATCATTACTTGAGAAAAATAATCTGGTTTACGTCATTTTCAATTGAATTTGGTTACGTCTATAAACTGCATATATAGATTTTGTTGTGCTCATATTACTCCAGCGGTTAAAAACTTTTTCTTTAATTAATACATAAAAAAAACCAGATTTCTGTATATAAGTTGCACAGATTACATACTACAACGACAAAAATACAATGTGAGTTTTAAACTGATGAAACTTTTCTGTAAATAAAATATTCCTCCGTAAAATTGACTGATTATAACTTGATAGTGGATTTCATTGGTGTATAATTATACATTATAGAAATAACGTCTAGCTGTGAAGTAAAATTTTTAAGAATGTGAAAAAAATTCCAAAAAAGGGGATAGCAGTAAAATCATTACTGAAACTTTAGTTTTACTTGCATTTAAAATTTACTTTAAATAATACATGTATTATAAAATCTTTAGGAATAGTCAGTACAACTCTACTATCAGATTTATTAAAATTTAAATAAGCTAGTGAAAAAATCTTAGGGAAAGTTTGTTTTAATTATAGAGCAGAAGAAGATTTTGGAGAAACTAACTTTTAAAAATGAGTTACTGAACACAGCCACGTGAGGAAAAATGCGTTACGAAAAACGTAGCCACACACCCTGCGGCCCAAGCCCTCTACTCTCCTCAATCTCCTCTCTTATAAACTCCCTCCTACTCTGTCTCTCTCTTTCGCAGCGCGCGCCACTCTTCTGTCTTATACCGTTCCGTCTCTCTTGCTCTCGCATGTACGCCGCTTGCTCCTTTTCCTTCACGCTGGTACTACACTTAAATATGTATACATATTTTACAGGTATGCTAGCATGTATGTTTCTATGCTACGACTTAACACTAAACCAATGCGTTTGCTCAAATATATGTACGTGTTGCACGCTCGGTAATTATGTACATTTTCAAACGTGTACATTTTTGTAAGAAAACGTGTTTAAAGTATTAAATGTGTTTAACACGACAATCTAACCTTTGAAAATAAAAAAAAACGCTGTACCTTGAAAGCGAAGCAAAATTGGCTGAAAATAATCATTTTTATGGATTCCCTGCAGAGGAACGACCGAAGGGCTGTCCACTTTGAACATCCCGTAAATTCTCCCGAAATACTCGAGGTTCTCTTTGCTGCTCTTAAGTTCAAGAGTGGAGGCAATTGACCCCAGGTCAGCGCATTGACGACTGCCTTTCACAAGCATCTGTCGTAATCGCCTCCCTAGGGTTCCTTCCGAAGAAGCCTACCCAGGACGAAGCTGTTTAATTCCTGGAGGACTTCTTCGAGGCTACCTCTTCACATCTCCGGGGCCGATCCCACCCAGAGGATTAGAACCACCCCTATCAATCCAAGCACCTTCATTCCCCGAAGGCTACCTCCTTCACTACTCCGTCACCGGCTAGTAGCCCAGAGCCGATAGACGGGCCAAAACCTCTCGTAAGCCGTGTAGTCCAGGTATTACCTCCACTCTAGGATTCTGAAGCATCTCGGCATTGGGACGATCATAGAGGGGAAGCAAAACGACCCGAGTGAGGGTAGAAGGGTTCTAATATATATATATGTATGTATATTATAGTGCTTTACGTCCAGCTCCTGTACAGGAGCACTACTGAGGGCCCTTAACACTTGGGAGAAGGAAGGGAAGAGGGATGGGGAGGTTTATTATTACAGGAGGGGGGTAGGAGGAAATTAGACAATTTTTGCTGCGAGAAGGTCGCCCAAACCCTCCTCGAGGAGCATTGCGTGGTGAAAAAGCACATGTGAAAATTCACAGAGGTACTTTCCCGAAAAAGTCACACTGGCCGGGAATCGAACCGCGGTCTCCCGAGTGCCAACCCACAGCCTAGACGACTGAGCCACCGCGCGCTCTATAATGTATGTATAAAAGAGAGAAAGAGAGAGAGAGAGAGAGAGAGAGAGAGAGAGAGAGAGAGAGAGAGAGAGATAGGTATGAAAACTTAGTAAAAATACATAAATAAATTCAAGTTATAAAAAGACATATCTATACATCAATCACCCTGGCGGCTAGACTTTTCAGGTCTTTCAGAATTACTGCATAATCGCCACACACCTACAGCGATCCGGTCTTCAACGAGACAAGCAAACCCACCATTCCCACGGCTTTGTATGTGATACCACCATCGTTACTTGGTTTGAAGGGACTTCTTGACTCTTTGCAAAGCGACACTAATCACCTTAAACTCCCTCTCTCAGTTAAAAGCCACTTACCCCAAGACTGCTTTTAACACACGTTATCTGAAATCATTTATATTCAGATTTATTGAGAACTTTAGCATTTAAAGTCCTACGTAATAAGAATAATAATAATAATAATAATACAGAATAACTGAAAATTTTACCAC